TCAGAATGCTACTGGCACCATTAATATCGGAACTCTTCGCTGGCTGCTGAAGATGGGGATGGAGGGCTTATGGGAATGCACCGAGTGCTGTAATGTCGGTTCTTGAATCAAATTAAATCAAATCAAATCAACAAAACAGAAAACTAAGTGTAGCTATTTAAAACTACACAAAGTTGTGCTTTTACGCCAAAGGCAAAAATTAAACATGTTCTGATACACAAAGAAAATAATTCAAACTTCAGATGTTCTCACCAACATCAACTAAATATATATATATATATATATATATATATATATATATATATATATATTATATATATATATATATATATATATATATATATGATATATATATATATGCATATATATCTTTTCTAAAACAGTATCTATAGAATTTCACTCTATAGACTAATACTAATAGTTTAAACTAGTACTTAGTTACATTAATTTAGACTTCGTCTTTAAAGAAAGCTCTGTTTATTAGTTTAACCACCGCCCACCCGAAGGTAAACATCCGGTCTGCTACGCCGCTTCCATTCGTCTTTCGCTAAAAAACTTTATTTTTAATAGCAAAGAACATGTATAGTTTATATTAATAAAATTACTTGTCTGGCTTCACCCTCTTTAACCGCTAATACTTACAGGACTTTAATATTTATTAATACAATCCAATATGACAAATCCAAGATATGTTTTTATTATCAACATCTACTAAACTGTTAACTATCTCTTTGTTCACTCTGACCTTGTTTATCTATTTTTCTTATTTATTTTCTAGAGTTGATATCAGAACCAAAGAATTTTCTCTCGCTATTTACAAAGTACTATTCTTATATCTTCTTTAATAACTTTTTACAGGTCCAGATAATTTATTTTCTAATTATTCTTACTTTTCATTTTCAAACTCTCCGATGTTAACCTTTCCCCACGATGTTATCATTACACATGCGTGGTTAGGTTGAGGTGTAGGTAAGGAGTGACGTTTACATTTGTCCACCTTTACCATAGATTGTTTAAATCCCAAACACGACATTTAAGTACCACGTCATATGTTACTATAGTGCCTGAATATTTTAGAATTTTGTATTAACTAAGCGGTTTGAGGATATATAAGATTGCATAATTGAGGCCACTTCATGACAGGAGTGGTTCCTTCAAAGTAAGAGTGCATCCGCCTGAAAGGCGAGGAACTAACAGTCTGCATACAAATAAGTCTGATCTGTAAACTTGATGTGCATGCAAAACTCAAGTTCTACAAAACTGTTGACCATCATCTCTTTGAGTGCACAAAACTCAGGGGAATTAGAAGGAGGCTACCCCCTCTGAGACCAGACAGGTGGAACACTTTGTACGGAGGAAAAGAACAGCTTGTGAAAACATGTAAGTTCCACTACATGGCATTGCGCCAAAGGGTGAAAGCTCATGCACCGCTGGATTGATAACAACATCAACTCCCACCAAACTGTGATAACCCTTTTGCTCCTCCGTATTGTTCATGTGATCTCTTGCAGCTGTGAAGTGGATAAGAGAAGAAAGTAAAACAGTTGCCAGAGCAAGTAGTGTGCCTGGAGATTCGAAACGGTCAAGTGGGGCGTGAAAAGCCATCAGGCATCAGCACGTCATCGTTACAGGAACTCACATGAATGTACAGGAGTTCGAGAGAGTGAAAGGTCAGACTGTCTGACGATGTACAGGAGTTCGAGAGAATGAAAGGTCAGATTGTCTGACGATGTACAGGAGTTCGAGAGAATAAAAGGTCAGATTGTCTGACGATGTACAGGAGTTCGAGAGAATAAAAGGTCAGATTGTCTGACGACGTACAGGAGTTCGAGAGAATAAAAGGTCAGATTGTCTGACGATGTACAGGAGTTCGAGAGAATGAAAGGTCAGATTGTCTGACGACGTACATGAATTCGACAGAATGAAAGGTCAGATTGTCTGACGATGTAAAGGAGTTAGAGAAAATGACATGTTAGATTGTCTGACGACCAAAGCCATAGCTACAGAAACACTCCTATTGGACAAAGCAGACATTCTGATAACCATTTATGAACTTACATTCATAGAAGACACAAAGTTAGACAGAGTGACATGTGTAAGAATAAGTAAACGAGGAATTAGGTATATCCGGCAAGAAAGGTTTCTTGCAACATTTGGACATCGCATGCATATGCACAGATTCACCCTACATCCACGAGAATCCAAACATACACTCGAACTTTTTCATTTTCTTAGGTACATCTATCTGTTCCCGCCAAAAATTGCTTAAAGCATTTAACCCGTAGAAACAAATAAGGCTGCTCATAATTCTAGACAAAGTTTCGTCACATTAGGCAACAGTTCTGTTATAGGCTATATATTGTAGAAAATAACAGATTGTTATATGTAACAACTGTTTACAATAATTAGAATACTTATTCCGACATGATGATAGTTTTGTGTGTGTGTGTTTGTTTTTTAAAATGTGAGGAATGTTTGATCATTATAATAAATAATTTAATTTGAGTATAGGTTTTTGTTTGATTAAATGAATTTTGTTATTCCCCTTGTTATATAAGGTTAATCATTCGTCCCAATTTGGGACGCAATATTTTTGTTTGGTTTTGTTATTTTTTATTATTTAAAAGCTTCACCCAGACTGTGGCGGAGGGCCCTAATAAAACCTAACGGTTGAACGGGGTTTCTGGGACTAGTGCCGAATAGTGGCACTTTTATAGTCTTTATGTGAAGTTAAATAGAACAGGTCCTCGTGTAATCTATCACAGTTTACATCGGATCTACAGCCTCATCGAAACATGTCCTCGGTCTGCATGTAATCATCAATACGCTCGAGACGGTCCAATCAAATGGACACAACTTGTAGATGGAATATGCAATGAAGATTGTTTGTTGTGGAAATAGAATCATTAACGCTATACGAGGTATAACAAATTTTATTTCATTTAAGAAACACATGAACACAAGTTTTGTTTATCTAATTTTAATGACCGAACATTCTTCACGTTTAAGAAGACACAGAAAAGCTATCACGACGTCATAATAAATATTAAAATTATTGTTTTAAACTTCTCACATGTTCCGTTTTTTTCGACAACAGATGGTCTATTACTGTACAATTTCTTAATGTGAGAAAATATGTCCAGAATTCTGCTCGATTGATAAGGCGTCACCTCGTGAGATGCAATTTTTTGTTTGAAGCCCCACCCTGGCATTTGCAGGGGGACCCTGAATATAGACGGGGCATAGATGTGGCCTAGCCATAGATATGGCCTAACGGCTGAAAGGGGTTTCTTGGACCTCTCCATGGGTGATCCTCATCCGCATGGCGGCACTTTGTGTCACATGGTGTTTATAACTCTATGTAATGTCCTGGTGGAGTGAAATCTACTTATTTACTTACTAATCATGTGTACTAGCAACACAAATATTCTTTAACTTTTTGGCAAGTACATATAGATGTACTTAACAATATGACTCTGGGATTGTTTGATTGCATCCTTGAGTTTCTGATGTGCAAATGTGGCACAAAACTCGAACAATATATCTGATTACCTTGTCAAGAATCAGCGTAAATAATAAATACACACTTTGTAATTACAAAAACAAACAAATACATTCAATATTTTTTCCAAAAAAACACAATTCGTATGTGAGGATAGCTTTGAAAGCAATGAGCCACAGATCTGCGCCTGAGAGAGAGAGAGAGAGAGAGAGAGAGAGAGAGAGAGAGAGAGAGAGAGACAGACAGACAGACAGACAGACAGACAGACAGACAGACAGACAGACAGACAGACACAGACAAAAAAAGAGAGAGAGCAAGACGTATCATCATCATACCAATGTATCATCACCCAATAACACACGTGTGTGTTTGTGTGTGTGCGCGAGCGCGCGTGTGTATGTGTCTGTTTGGAATGTTCTGATGTAGTCAATGTAGTTTAACGGAAGTGTAATGAACATTATTTGAATGATTATTGTCAGATTGTTGTGGCTTCATAGCGATGGATGTGATAGAAGAAATTGTGATTGAGTAGAGCGAGAGAATAGAGATGAATAAACTGGCAGAATTCACATCGGAACGTATGTGCCATTCTGCGTTGTTGGTTATAGGCTATTGCGTTTGTTTCCAAATTGGTAGCTGTGCACGTGTACGACTCGGTGACATGAAGCAACTCTGCTAGCTAGAATGTGGAAATCCTAGACTGGAAGCCAGGATAGAATCTAGCAACATTGAAAGCAGCCGGCCTTATTGCAGCTAACTTATTTATGCAGTGATTTATTATTATTTTTGTTTAAAATCCCATCTCCTAAATATCCACATATTTGCTATAAAGTGTTGAATGGTTACAAAACGTTTCCTGTACATCAAAGTTTCATTTACATAGGGACATTTGCCATTATTGCTAATGACAATGCTATCTATATTATTTCCAGTACTAAAAGCTACCGACAGCTACCACTCAAATCTGCCAAAAAATCGTAAATACTAATATCCCCACAGTTGCCATTCAGATCAATGTAATCTGCAACCTCTTCTACAGCCTTCTCTGCGCATGTGCAGACCAAACCAGTGTTGTTGTTGAGAACAATGTACGAGATACTTGTTAAATAAACCAGGCTCAAAGGCAGACGAGTCAATTTCGTGTTTTGCAGACTCAGTTTAGTTAAAGATCCCAGATTTTTGAAGGCGAGTTCGGAAATCATTTCCAGTGGATTGTTATCCAGCATCAAGTTTTCAAGAGTTGAGTTTTCGGGAAAACTCGTGTCATTTAACTCGGTTATCAGGTTATTCTGGAAGTTCCAGATGTGTTACCCAAGTAGGGATATTGATACCTTGGACTACCTGAATAACGTTATTTGAAAGGAACATCATAAACACCGCAGTCAGGTCGCTGTATATTTTAGGGATAGATGGAAGCAGGTTGTAACTCAAGTCTATTGTTGAGGTAGAATTGTTTAGAAGTCCTGAGTTTGGGTCGGATATCTTGTTGTTAGACAAATCACAGAACCAGAAGTCTACCACGAACGACAGATCTGGGAATAGCCTTCAGCTGATTAAATGGGAGAGCTAACGAGTTTAGCGAGTCAGCGTAAGTGCGAAGGACATTGCTGAGATGTTCGGCGTCAGAGATTCGGTTACTGTCCAGGGATAAGCTGGTCAGTTTACTGGACTGAGGGAGCCAGGTAATGTTGGAGATGTTGTTGTTCTCTAAGTTTAATGTTGTCAGATTTGTTAACTTTGCCAAGGCTTTTGGAACTGCAGTGAAATTGTTGCCACTAAGTGTCAAAGTCATTAGGTTATAAAATGTATCAAAGGCATTGTCTGGTATGGAGGAGATGGCATTGTCTGCTAGGTCTAAATCATTTAAGTGTTCGAACTGGGCAAGCCAATCTGGCCAGGCTGTAAATCCAACTTTTTCTAGTTTAAGAACCTCTAAAGTTTCTCCAATATGAACCATGGCGGGAGCGTTCCAGTCTAAAACTGTTGAATTAATTATGTACAAAATTTTGAGTGAATCTAATTTAAGAAAGGCATCGGGGATTTCCGATAACTGAGGATTTATAAAATAAAGTGTCTGCAGTGTTGCTGAGACTTCGTTAAAGGCGTTGTCGTCTTATAGTTGTAATGGGGTTGTTGAGTAAGGACAGCTCCCTCAGACCCACAGGTAGACTTTCAGCTGGTATTTCAGTGATGTGATTTGACTGTAAAGTACACAAATAATGGAACTTTGTTATGTATTGGCTAGATTTAAAATATTGACCTCTTCTAGGGTAGTAAAAGAACATTTTATTTTCCCACCTTCTACTTCTACGTATGTTTAGTCATTGCTCATAATTTTACGGGAACCTCTTACTGCCTAGAGCCGTTCACAACCCTACAAATTTGACCAACGAAGCTACCAACTCTGGATTCCCATGGGGGCGGTAACTCTCCTTCAGGAGAAACACTGGTCCAGCCGTTAATCTTTCTCGGCTCTTATCTCACTGCCAAAAGAATGCGACAGTTAATGTCAACACACCAAGTAAGAAGAGAGATAACAGCGAAACATAGTTTTCTCCCCCCCCCCCCCCCCCCATTTTTTAAATCTCTTTTTTTCCAACCCAACATAAAAGTAATTCTTAAAGGGCTCCCTCCAGTGAATATGAACTTTTAGTTATTAATTATTATAAATGCATGGAAATCTTGCTCAGTAATGCACAGTAAACGTAGCCATAACATTTTTAGCCGAATAGTGACACTTTGTCCTTTGTGTCACCAGGTGGTGTTGATAGTTCAGTATGCGGTCCTAGTGTGGGTGTGGTTCGACTTCATTGAAAGAACAAGCTAACCAATAGGCTGATGAGTCCGGTGGCAAAAAAAAAAAAAAAGCAGACGTTTACCTAACTGATTAAACAAATAGACATGTTTTGATATGCACTCATACAAAGAAGTCGAAAGACAGAAGGGCACAGTAGGGTTTCCCAAATGTCTAGAGTTTGTTCATTATATATAATGTTTCCACGGACTCTGGAATTCCAGCTCTTTTTGCTTATGGGTTATAGCGTTTCGAATCTGAATGGAGTCCACTTTTAAGCCATGTAATCTTGGCCAACACAAATATGTTGATTTCAGAGGGTATCAATGATTTTCTGTACATCAAGGAAAATAGGCTAGTGAACAACATTTTTTGTTGGAAGCTGAAATATTTTCGTCATATTAAGTACCACGACGGACTGGACAAAATAGTCGCAGAAGGCATGGCACCAGGATGGAGGAAAGAGACCGATCAGCATTAAGATGGGCATAGGATATGAAAGACTTATAGAGTAAGTGGGGGGGCTATCTAGAGGCCGAGTTTCGTTCAGGCAGACCGCAGTAAGAGCGACATTGTGCTAGGACCTGTTGCAAGATGAAAGTCTGCCATTTGTTTTATATATTATGTGCCCTAACAGATGACAGTGGACTGGCAGTCGATGCCTATATTACGTTCTATTGCACCATCGTCAGTCCAGTTGTTCTAAACGCATTTTATTTTATACTGTCAATATAAAACAATTGATACTCAATATTTGATGCAGTCAATTGGCCCTGTCGCCTTTGCTTCCCATGTTCTTTTTTCAGCAATGTTGACATGGAACCTTAGGTCAATTTTAAAAACTGGAAATGGATTCGAACTCAAGAACTCCGGGTGAAAAGGTATGCTTTCAGCCACTGTACTAATGCCGCCCCGTTTAATGAATATAATTACCACTTGGTTCAGAGATGTCGAGAGGGAGGGGAGGGGGGGGGGGGGGTAATAAAACGATTTAATAAGAGGTTAAAATGTATAAAACCCTATGGCATAACAGCTGCTAGTCAGTTATTAAGGTCAAGATATTGAAGTCGTGTATCTTTCCACTGGCAACTTATGAATGCTAATCAAGGAGTCTCGCTCAGTCATTGAAGAAGATAACGGAGCCTTTCAACTGAAATGCTACAGAAGTTTTTTTTTTTAGAATAGACATCAAGGATAACTGGCTGGTAAACAGCATCTGCGTCCAAACGTTGAGTTATTCTGCACATGGCAAGCACCAAACCCATGGTGGTTTGGAGAGAACGGTGATGTAGAGTGCAGTTTGCAGAAAACGGGGTAGAGTGGTTACATGACGTTGAAGTTGCATCGGCTATGAAAGCGAACAGGGCTGGAGAATTGTCTAGCGAAAGAGAGATGTGCCGTGAAGAGTGACGTTCTGTAAACATGCTGATTGATTGATTCAATGATTCATTGATTGTTAATTGATTTATTTAATGATTGAAGAATTGAATGAGAATAACTTACATTTAAATTCAGTGAAAGGTAGCCTGTAGCATTGGCATTGTAGAGTACTGGCATTGAGGTCAACCCCCGTAGTCCGCAGGAAATTGACGTTAAATAGCAGGGACATTCCTAAGAAAACAAAACAGAATTATCAGATCAATGATTCTGTTTTCCTTTCCCTCCCCCCGCCTTCCCCCCGCCTTTCCCAACACTTAATCTCCTAATAAATGTCAAATGAGATTTTCAGTATCTTCTTAAACAGCAAGTAAATATTATTATTAAATATGTTGACAAGCACAAATATCATCTTACAAAATATGACTTAGACGTCATTATTATCAATTATTGTGTGTGTGTGTGTGTGCGTGCATGTGCGTACGCGTGTGCGCGCGCGCGTGTGTGTGTGAGTAAGTAAGTGAGACATGTTTATTTTGTCAGGTGTGATATCGAATATGAATATATAATATCTGTGAATTGTTGTACGAAATATGACCGCATATCAATTACAGTTGTTGTACGAAATATGTATGCATACCAATTACAGTGGTTGTACGAAATATGTATGCATATCAATTACAGTTGTTGTACGAAATATGTATGCATATCAATTACAGTTGTTGTACGAAATATGTATGCATATCAATTACAGTTGTTGTACGAAATATGTATGCATATCAATTACAGTTGCACGAAATATGTATGCATATTAATTACAGGTGTTGTACGAAATATGTATTCAATTACAGTTGTTGTACGAAATATGTATGCATACCAATTACAGTGGTTGTACGAAATATGTATGCATATCAATTACAGTTGTTGTACGAAATATGTATGCATATCAATTACAGTTGTTGTACGAAATATGTATGCATATCAATTACAGTTGTTGTACGAAATATGTATGCATATCAATTACAGTTGCACGAAATATGTATGCATATTAATTACAGGTGTTGTACGAAATATGTATTCAATTACAGTTGTTGTACGAAATATGTATGCATATCAATGACAGTTGTTGTACGAAATATGTATGCATATCAATCACAGTAGTACGAAATATGTATGCATATCAATTTCAGTTGTTGTACGAAATATGTATGCATATCAATTGCAGGTGTTGTACGAAATATGTATGCATATCAATTACAGTTGTTGTACGAAATATGAATGCATATCAATTACTGTGGTTGTACGAAATATGTATGCATACCCATTACAGTTGTTGTACGAAATATGTATGCATACCAATTACAGTTGCTGTACGAAATATGTATGCATATCAATTACACTTGTTGTCCGAAATATGTATGCATACCAATTACACTTGTTGTACGAAATATGTTTGTATACCAATTACAGTTGTTGTACGAAATATGTATGCATATCAATTACACTTGTTGTACGAAATATGTATGCATACCAATTACAGTTGTTGTACGAAATATGTATGCATATCAATTGCAGTTGTTGTACGAAATATGACCGCATATCAATTAGAATTGTTGTAAAAATATGTATACATATCATTGTACTAGTTATTACCCTTAAAGAAGTAGTTTACGTTCCGTGCCCTCTGAACGTTGTTGATTCAAATTCTGAGATCAGTAATTTGTTGGTGCTGTGCTAGGTGGAAGTAAAGCATAAACTGCTAGAGTCTGCGCTTGCGTGCTTCATCAGTAGACGTTCCCAGGGACCCAATTATTCTGTATTTTTATGGTTTACTTTTTCTGCGTTTCTAATTGTCCACTTCGTCTATATATCGACGCCCTTATGGCATGTGACTGGACAAAACATTTCACTTGACGAAATCAAGCGCGATAAGTGTCTCCAGTTTCTCTTCTAGACGTGTTGAGTGCTTTGTTCAGAATCTGAGTTCGATTATTGTACTTTTCTTTGCTCGTCTTTTGTGTTGTTATTTTGTTCAAAGATTGGTTTTGGATGAAAATGGTTGAAACATCATTAGTGTGGAATAAAGTGGGGCGAGGAAGAGAATTTTCATAAGCTATGCCAATCCTATCCTGATATACAGAAGTAAATCATGGACAGTTTTAGTGAAACATTATTGGATGCGATTGCCGCCCCAGTGTAAGAGGCAATATTTGAGTTATCTTAGAGCTCCCCTCCGGCTGTCTTCAGAGGCCCTAAAATAACCTAACGGTTAAACGGAGTTTCTGGGACTTTTGCTCAAGTGATTCTCATCCGATGGCGGCACTTTGTGTCACCGGGTGTTTATAGGTCGTTGTGTGATGTCCTGATGGGGTTGAAGGTCAGTCAGTCATTACTGGAAGCGGCAGAGATATGCTTTTAAAGGCGAATGTTGAGAATACCCAAGACAAAAAAAAAACAAAAACAAGAATAATAAGGATGTCTTTAAAAACAACAACTGATTCGTAAAGAAAACTAATTGCCCAGATTAGAAGGAAACCATCTACATTCTTTGGTAATATCATGAGAAAGAGAGAAAAACGCGGAGTACACTGTGACGCTGGGGAACGGTTGGAGGGCAAAAGAGTGAAAGGGAAACCGAAAGAGAAGATGCTGGATATCATAGAAGATCATCTACGTCAGAAATGATAGAATGTACACAAGATAGAACGCTGTGGAAAAGCCTGACTACCACAACATGTGGCTTAGGCGTTGCGAGCGCGTTTCGTAATACCAGGGTGCAGTGTTCG